GTGTGTGTGTGTGTGTCTCTGGCCTTCCTTGGTTGAGGGACATGCCAAAAATCTATATAAATACGGGTGCCAATGCACTGCTCCCTCCACTGCCCGCCTGCTTCCATAAAGACCGGCTGCACAATCAACATGCCTCCGTGTGCCTCGCAAGTCTTCCAACATCCAACAAGCATCCAATGATTTCGGGCTTGGGATATCACGAAGTTGTATGCACTCCTGCAGCGGATTTTAAGCGAAGCCCTGTCAAGAGATGAGACGAAACGGTCGGCACTTCCGGCTCTGCTTGTGGGGTCAAGAGGGAGCCACTGAAGTTACCACTATTGACTATTGAGCACCGTGAGCTGCCCTCCGCCCCTTTCTACCCTGCGGGTTTTCAGTTTTCGTCGGCTTCCAGGAACCGAACGAGGCTTGAGCTCGGAACTTGTCAGTTGAAGCCTGGTCCGGCCTGAAGCCAACTCCGATGCAAGCAACAGGATATCCTCTTGGAATTTCCTCTTTGCTTACCCTACGATGGGCTGATGCAGCATTAACTTTGCCACCATGCTCATGGTCGTCATCAGAAATCAGAAGCAGCATCTGTCACATCTGCATCCTCCACAGCAATGTCTTCCTTCTCGTCTTCACCATCACCATCCTCCCCAGAGCAGGTACCTTGTCTTCAGGCCGTGTGGCATGTGTATATAAGTAGGGCTTGCTTGTTGGGGTAGCAATTCATACAGCCATACGCGTAACTGGGTAATGCCTGTTCGCATCCCTTTGTAAGCACCTGAAACACATAACTCCAGGCAAGTATTGGAACCTGCAAGCCTTACACATGGTGCATCCTAAACCCTCAGTCCTAAACCTTCACTCCTAAACCCTAAACCCTAAACCCTAAACCCTGCATCCACACCTCCCTTCCGGCGCCTCCCGCCGCGCATCGACCACCAAGAGGTCCTCCCTGAGGAGCCAGGAAGGCCGGGGACCCTCGGCCTGGAGTCGCTGTTCCTTTGTTGCTTTTCCCTTTTTTTTTGCTGGGTTTCACTTTTTTTGCTGGGTTTCACTTTTTTTTTACTGGGTTTCAGGGCATCTTTTTTTTTGGGGGGGGAGGTGTAGGGTTTTAGGCTCCTCCTTGGTCTTTAAAGTGTGGATTTAGGGTTTCGGGCTTGAAGTTTACCAGAGAGCTTCAGACTCTTGGGCGCTCAGGTCTCAGGCTGGGTCTGGCTCGGGTCTTTCAGGACTTTACATGGGTAGTTGTCAAAATTATGGTCCCTTTTGGGGGTACCCTAAATAATAGGTGCCGTGTTATGACAAGGACCCAAAAAGGGACCATAGTTTTGACAACCACCCACATGTTCCCAAGGGTTGGGTTTTGCTTGTTGAGGGCCTTGTTGGTGTCCGCCTTGCAACGTCTTCGAAACCCTTGTTGGGTAGGCTGTTCTGCATGGTTTGGGATTTAGGGCGTTTAGGGTTTGAGTTTAGGCTGGCATGCATTTGCAAGAAGGCTGCCTGAGATAGGAAACCTGCTGCATCTCCAGTTCATCCCCTCCTAACTCCCTGAAACCCTCAGCCCAACAAAAAAAACTACACCCGGCCCTGGCCTTGGGCAAACCTTCGCTGCCGGCATTGAGGAGGTAGTCCGGGTGGAGCAGCAGAGACACAGGCCTCGGATCACATCACTCCCATCAGAGAGTCAAAAAGCAATTCGCAAGGAATGTTCAGTGAAACGCAAGGGGGCTATCTATATGGTGCAAGGTATACTTTGCCCAGGTAAGTGCTGCTTGGAATTCCTGCAAGGGATGTATGGTGGCTTTACATGGTGTAGCCCCTGACTGAAGTACGGAGACACACTACTGCTAGTGGCAATCCCTGTTTCAAATCCTCAATGACTCCGGCCACCCGAAACTGCACCGAAATCACCGGGCTCCGGCCACCCGAAACTGCACCGAAATCACCGGGAAGTGTTTTGAGGGTCTTTGGTCTAGGGTACCCTATAATCCCCAGGCAAGGGGGCTCCGCGCGATGAACAGGCCGTTCTACAGGAGCTCCAGCAAAGTCGAAGCTCAGAGCGCCTGAAGCTGTCTCGGACTGGGGTCGCCTGCACAATGGTGGGAGACCCTAAACCCAAAAACCCAATCAAAATCCTCGACCCCCAAAAAAAAGCCCTCCCTCCTCGTCCCTAGAGTCCCGAAAATGCCCCGAAAGCTCGCAGTTCCTTTCAACTCACGGCCTCGGACTGACCCCACTGAAAGCAACCTGCGACATCCCCCAACACCTCCATGGACCAGACCAGCTGGAAAACTCGAAGCCCTCCAGACTTCCGGGAACCGAGGAGTTTTTTTTGCTAGTGCCCTGCGCG